CAGTCACCTCCATCCCCTCCAGGTTGGGAGGATGGTGCCCGGCAGAGGGCGCTTTGAGTGTAACCTCTCAGCCAAGGCCCCTGGGGAAAGGCAACAGGCCAAGGAAAATTCTAGTGGAAAAAATGAAGAAAGGATTCCAGGTTTATGAGTCCCAGACTTTAAAAAGCAAAACTGCTGAGTTGTCTCCTGAGTTAGGAAAAAAGAACACCACAGCCGTCTCAAGATTTCCAGGAAACTATTTGCAAAAGCTTGGGCAAGGCTGGCAGGGGGCTGGCAGGGGGAGCTTAGGGTGCCCCAGCTAAGGTTCCAATGCCCTGGGAGGTGGGAGAAGGAGGCGGGCAGTGTGAATGTGGGTGAGCACATGTTCTTGTGCACAGTGGGGTTATGTGGGTTTATCTGTGCCATGTATGTACACGTTTATGTGTGCTTGTGGGTACAATCCCATGAGTATTTATTAAACATCTTCTATGCTCTGCTAGCCACAGTGCCAAGTGTTGGGATGCAACAGCAAATTAAACACAGTCCCTCAACTCATGAAGCTTAATTTGGTGAGGGATACAAAGGAACAGGCAATTTCAACTCAGAGTGCAAGCACCTGGGAGGTGGCTTATATGGCAGTTCAGAACACCGGCTTTATGGTAAGGCAGCCTGGGATTCGAGTCTACCCACTAGCTACACGATCTTGAAGATTTCTCTGACATTCAGTCTCCTTAGCTGGAAAGTGCAAATATTAAAACCACATCCTAAAATATAGTGTATGCCTATCAGCGTTCACTGATGGTCTCTATCATTGTGTGTGTAGGGACTGCATCTAGATGAATGATGTGTATGGCCCATGTGAGTTACACGTGGGCATATTCACACATCTGCTTATGTTGTTTTCATGGAGTGCCAGGCTCTACCAGAGGCTGCAAATAGTGGCCCACAGACATGGCTTGCAGCGATGCCCATTGGTTTGGGTTTGTTTTTTGGCTCATGGAGTATTCTAAAAATCAAGACATTTCACATAAAAATTCAGATTTTCAGTTTCTTTTGAAACCTTGGATGAGCTGGCTGTCCTGCGAGCATGTGCATGAGTGTGCCTGCCTGCCACAGCCTCTGCTTCCTAATAGATGTGTCCTTCCCAGGGGCACCCTCCCTCCTGGCCAGTCTCCAGGGCCGTCCTTGGAGGGGTTCCAAGGCTGCTCAGGAGAGCTTGTGTGCAGACATGTTCTCTGTGAAAGGAAAAGCAGGACTGGGCAGGAACTGGTGCCAGGGCTCCAGGCCTCCCCCAGCAGCTCCGGTTTCAGCAATCACAGAGGCCAGAGAGAGCTATGGGCCCTACCCGAGGCTCTCTGGCTGTGCAGAGAGGCACTACTTACAGAAGATAGTAACCGAGGATGGCAGTTAGAATGGCTTTTCTTATCTATTTGGTTTAGCATTAAAAAAAAAAAAGTCTCAAGTATAGATCTGAAATGATTAAGACAAATGATTTCCCCAGAAAGTGTTGCTAGATGTATATGCCAGGATTCTTATAAAAATTAGCAAAAAGGCTCATGATAGAAGCTAAAAATATATGTGTTTTTAATTATTTTTAAATACATTTGGGGAACCCACAGGTGTGACAGGTAGGATTGATATTTTCCTAGTATCCCTGGATCCTCTTAGGATGGCAGGTAAGTCCCTCTTGAAAGGTATTTACTGGGCCCCACCGTGTGCAAGATGAAGGCTAGGCACATGGGGGCCTACAAAGACGTATATGCCCTGTTCCTTGGCCCTCAGCAAATTCAGTCTCGTGGAGAGATATCCAAGGAGAAATGAATGCAGGAATAAAGGGACAGGGCATTGCTGAGACATTTTGGGACAATAGGGGACCAGAACATAGAGGAAGAGGCTTCTGGACCCCTGACTTGCCGTGCAAGCTCCTTTCCCCCTCTGGGCCCCCATTTCCCCTTTTGTAAGACAAGGAGGTCAGAAGAGATGAGCAAATATTAATACCAACCCCACTTTCACAACTCTCTGGGCCCCTAACTTGGGCATTCTTTGCAGGAGTGGGAGCTGCAGCCCTAGTTCTTAGCCACTTGCTCACACCCCACATTCTTGCTCCCAAGACTTGGCTTGTGCTGGGAATTTGCCTGACTTGATCTCTGAAAGAAATCCATCAGAGGAGCTTTTTCACATAGCTTCCCTTAAAAAAAAAAAAAAAAAGATCTGGATTCCCAAAAGACCAGGCCTCTAATGGAAACTTCCAGCATCTTGTACAGGGGGTCCTGGCACCACCCCAAGTCAAGATGGGGAGAGTGGCCCCTAGACAGGTGGGAGATTTGTGCCTCTTCCCCAGCAGCAGGGTTGGAATGATTAAAGTTTAAGTGATTAAACTGATTCACAGTGAAGTCATGCTCCCATTTAGCAGGTGAGAAAATAAGGCCCGAGGGTGGGAGGGCACTTCTCCGCAGCCCTAGGTCAACATCAGAAGTAGATCTGATTTTGGAGGAAGAGCTCCCTCCACTCCTTGAATTTTCTCCCTCAGGATGAGTCTTCAGAGTGGAGTGAGATGAGGACCACCAGGCTGCACCCCTCCTCAGCCAGATGTTGACTGCTGTTGAGCTAGAACACCAAGTAATTCTTGTTCTGCATTAGCCAGCAGCCAGGAAACCTGAGCCTCACAACCTAAGTGTGAAGGAAGAGCAGTAATTCTGCAGCTCAGCAAATAGCCCCAGGGTAGTGTATTCCCTTGGGGAAAGTCTTTGTTTCCAGAGGCCAGGAAAGAAGGAATTGACATACAGCAAACAGTCTCTTAAAACAGGGCACATGGGTGGCCAGAGACTGCAAAGAGAAGCAGTGAGTTGGCTAGTATTAACACCTTCCTCATTAGGGGCATCTTAGAGCTGGTCTTTAACAAAGGTTCATCTGCCAAGCTCTTCCCCTGGGCCACATCACCTGACCATGGGTGTCACTGGCACCCCCATCAAAAATTGAAATCCCCATTGTATCATCAAAGTGGCCAGTCCCATAAGCAATTAGAAAAACCCCAAAGATAGCTTGGTGCCTACAATTCAAATAATTTGGGAGGTGTTCTGTTTCTTTTCTCAAAATCTGGAAATCTGTTGAGATAGGGAAAGTCACCAGACATAGAAACTCCCTTCCAAAAACAAACCCAGATTTCTTTCCAAATTTTTGCTAGAATGCTACTTCTCACTTCATAAGACCCAGGAAAAACCTAGGTCAAAGATACTTACTCAGTGTTTTCCGATGATAGTGAAATCATCAGTAATTATTGTTATTTTATGTAAAAATGTTTATTAATAGTGTCTTTCATATTAGTCATTGATCAAACACGTATTTCTTTGCTTTTTTTTTTCTCACTCACCCACTTCGCTTCATGAACATGTATTTCTTGAATATCTCCTGTGAACTTAGCATTGTGCTATGCCAGGGAAAACAATAATGAAGAAATTAGACACAGCTTTACTTTTATGACTTTAGTCCATTTAATTTCATATATTCATATACATAGTTTTATATATTCCTGTAATTTCATATATTTATAATTCTACAGGGGCAGAAAGAAAAAACCTGTAAACAGGCATTTTCAAATTGCCAGTTATAATATGTGTAATAAGAACCAAGATAGAGATTAACAGAAGGAAACTTGGGATGTTTTTAATCATTAAACCAAAGCAAAAAATACATATGATATGCTACAGTTTTTACAAGATCATTTGGTCTATTTCTTTGTTTTGTTGTTAATATCAGTACTATGTAAGGTACCACAGGGAGATATTGAATTTGGCTTGAAGAACCCAGTACCATTTGGTCTTCTAATCTAGTAGGTTGCTGATAGCCTGTAATCATCTGTTTAATTAAATGTCCTGGTTCAGGAATCAGAAGTTATCAGGGGAGATTAAGATGATGCTAACAGGAAAGCTGTTCACTAATTGTTTTTACTGAACACAGCCGGGAGTATGACAGAGACAAGGCATGGTGCTGGCAATGAAAAGAAAGAAGATAAGGGCAGGCTGGGGTTGAGGGAGTGATAGCCACTCTGGGTTCCACGTTTTAAGGGTTGTTGACAGACAGGAGCATACCCAAATGGCTGTCATTAGCTACTGGATTTATTTACTAGTGCCATTTGCATCATCCTGCTCTAGGAGATGGCCAGCAAGAGACTAGGAACTTTGTCTCACTCACAGCTGTAATCTGGGGCCATGCTTATGGCCTAACCTATTATTACAGGTATTCAATAAATACATGGGCAAAGTCAATCAAAATATCTTCCCCCCTCCATGAAGCCTTGCCTCCCCCCAGATTAGACTCTCAATTTCCTTCTCTCCCAGTCTCCTCCCACGAAAGACTCTACCTGACACGTAAATGGAAATGTGAGTCACAATGGCTCAGGGATCCATCTCTAGTTAAATGTCAAGAATTAAGAGGCTGAAGAGTGAGCTGGCGTATTGAACTGAGATGAGGAGTCAAGTAGCCCCACAGCACCTACCCGTACCCCAAGCCTTGATTTTGTAAACTAAGAGTGTCAATGTGCAAAGGATCCTTGAGGATATCTTGTTACCTGACAAATGAGGAAACTGAGGCCCAGAGTGGGAAGACAAATCGAGGCTTGCCAGTGAGGGAACTAGGTGAGATCCCAGCTTGGTCTGGACAGGAGGGAAAAGCACACCAATCCTGAAGTGAATGCTCTTCCCCTCCCAGCACTGCCAACTGCTGGCTGCTTGACCTTGAGGAAGTTACTTAGGTCTTTAAGCCTTAGTTTTCTCATCTGAAAAGAGAAAATAGTTTTCTCACCACTTCTTGGTGGTGTTACAAAAATTAAACGGAGCAATACATATAATGTGCTTAGAGCAGTGTCTGACATTAAATTAAAGGTAGTCATTAAGATATTATCGTCATTGTTATTTTGACCACAATCTCAGGCCCTAGTTCTCAAGATGTTTCAGCTCCAGACTGGTCCTGCTTCTTCTTGGAGGGTCAATGACCCAGGCCAGTGTACTCTCTCCCTTCTCCAGCCACGCCGTTGGCTACCAGAGTCCTGAACTATAACACGTGTAAAAGCGCCTTTGTTGGAGAAAACATTGACTGGGCTGGACAGCAGAGGCAAGCAAGCCACGGAGAGAATCCCAGTTTCTACACCTGGGACTTCAAATAAGGTACGTGATTTTCAAATTGTGCACACCTGTGGGGACCTAGAGCCCCGAGGTCAAGGTAGGAAGGAGAGAAGCCCAGCGCATAGGTTCCTGGCCACCTGCTCTGCTTAACAGAGCATCTCTGCTTCTATCTTGTTTGTGAACTTGGGCTCTATATGAGAGAGTATTCGAAGACACAGTCCTACAGCTAATACAAAGTTTGAAAATCCAACACATTCTATGATCTTTAAGATCATTTTCTGCTAAAAAATGTCTATGAACTATAATTTCTTGAATTATTACTTAAGCATTCATTTATTTGGTGTGCACACACACAACTGAACACAAGTCTTCTGACTCACAGTGCAGTGCTCCTTCCAGTGTATCACTACAGATTTCAGACAGGGATGGAGAGAAATAAGACAATTCCTTTCATTCCAGTACTAAACTGTCAGGGCCTTATCAGTTTTCACCATTTTTCTATTCTGTACTTAGAGTAGATTATAAATCTCTACTCCAGGAAATAGGGCAGGCCAGGAGGTTGTCGGACACTTAGAGGCAAAGTCTGGGGGGATGTCACTTGTGCTCTATCACCTTCAATGCAGAATGGCTCATAACGCTTTATTCAGAATCCTCCTGGCCATTGGGTTCTTTGCAGGAGCCACAAGCGCAAAAGGCTAAATGGCCAGACAGACAACTTCAATGTCAAGGGTCTGACAGCTAAAGGGGCAAAACTGGAGAACGAAAGTCCTTTGGTGCCTCTGAGAATAAGCCGAACATACACGGATGAGAAGAGAGGCTCAAACATTACCTGCTTCCCTGTGTTTGTTTTCTTGTTCCTCAATCATGGCCCCATGGTCAGACCACCAGATCTAAGGTTTTGACCAGATGGACTATTTCTCTTTTTAAACTTATTTTTAGGAAAAAGAAAAAATTCTATTGGGTAGAGATGAGTGGCCTCCGAAAGGTTTTATTTGCTTTCTGAGTCAGGCTCGGCCTCACTGGGTTTGGCTTTCAATTTCTGTAGCCTTGCCATTCCCTAACTAAGTGTTCACAGGTCCTCCGGTGTTGCCCCTCTATTTCAAGAGCCCCCCAAATTAAGCTGAGTGACTACAGATAAGTTTTTGGTACTTTCCAAAATTAAACTATTTCCCTTGGTAAATTTCCAGCAAATGAGCTCATTAATCTGAAAACAGGATGTGGCACATGAAGAGAGTGAGGTCAGACTGCCTGCTCTTTTCACTTACACTGGCTTAGGGCAGAGAGGAAGGGGTGGGTGGGAGAGAGGTGGGACAAGAGGATGGCTTTTATAGGCCCCAAATCCTTGCGAAACTTCACTTGATGGATTGGACTGAGAATCAATGAATTTTTAAATCAGAGATTTAAGGAACTCTTTGAATCCTTCTCTCTTAGAATTAAAAGGCCCCACATGAAATAAAAAAAAAAAAAGGCCCCCCAGAGGCCACCTCTGGTCAGCCTCCCACAAATAGCAGATTCCCTCTTAGAGGCTTCCTGAGATCCTCTGCTGGTCTACAAGCAGGCAGATCCTGTGGTTCTCCTTTCACCTTCAGGACACTCTGTCCTGCAGCACCAGCCTGTCCACCAGAAGCTGGGGGACAACAGCTTGGCCTCTGATGGGTAAGAGACTTATATGCAGCCAAGGTTAAAAAACAAACATAAACAAAAGAAGTAAAAGATAGTTCCCTGGTCTTAGAATGCAGTTGGGAGTCAAGACATAAAGGGACACATAATATGCACATACATAAAGAGAATTTAATGGGTGCCTTTGAGGAGTTGAAACAAAACCAACAAGGTGCGCAGCCTCACCCCTCCCACAGCTATCAGTCCTACGAGTGTAAGAGGCCTGATGGAGAGATTTTACCAAATTGGTAGTTTGCAAAAATAAAGGTTGTTTGTAGCTTTTAAACTAAAATGCTGCCCCAACACTAAGCTCCATAACTATTTTGACTAACATACACAAATGCATAGGGAATAGCAGCCTTGTGTGTGTTTACACTAAAACAGAACCGGGTACTTAAAGTATCCAGTTTTGTAAAAGCACAGCACCCGGAACCGCTTTACTGATTGCTCCAACCCAATAAGCTTGGGCCTGGCGCTGTGCTGGGGTCTTTGCAGGGATCCAAGAAAGCTAGGACTCAGGTTTTACTAATTTTCACCTCATCTTCACTCGGGATTTCAGGCCGGCAGGGGTCCAGGGTGAGGGCTCAAGTTCCAGGTTTGCACTAGTTTACTAAGAGAGCATGTTACTGAGAACTTAGCATGTGCAGGCACCACACTCGGGCGGGAACACAGCGAGTGGAGGAGGAGCACGAAAGCGTGGTAGTTACTACTGGGAGCACAGTGCCTGCGGTGCCGAGGACCAGACCCCAGCCTCAGTTTCCCCATGAGGGGAGCGTTTGCTCGACCCAGCGGCGGCCACGGGAGCAGGACCCCGGTCCCCGGCTCCCGGCTCTGCCTTCCCCGCTTCCGCCGGCTGCGCCACCCGCGCCCCACCGGAAGCTCCCAGGCAGGCGGCGGAGGCAGCGCAGGCGGCGGAGGCAGCGCAGGCGGCGCGGAGGTTGGTCGCCCTGCACCCCCGCCCGCCCCCGCCCCGGCTCCCGCGCATTCCGGCCGGGGCTCCTCAAGGCCGCCGGGGACCTGCGATCGCGGCTGCCGATCCCGCCCCAGCACTGCTCCAGCCCTTCCTGAGGGCGCCCCGGCACCCCTGGAGCACTTTCAGCCTTGAGCAGGCGCGGGCGGGCGCCGCGCTGCTCCCAGAGTTGCGCTCGCCACTGGAGATGTGGCGGTGGGGAGACGACAGTCACCCGCCCTCGGGGGGGCGCACAGACAGAGCTGAGGGCACAGACAGGCAACCGGGCATCACGGGGCCGGGCGACCAGGGTCTGCGCTGGCGCCGGCGGGGCGCGAGGGATCGCAAAGCCGGGCTTCCCAGGGAAAGTGGGGACGCGTGCAGGTGCGCCCCGAAGGACGAGTGGGAGCCTGGGGAGCTGTGGTGGTGCAGAGAGCCCTCGCACGTGTGGACCCTCGCGGGTGGAGCCACGGAGATGGGGCCGAGGCACGTTCAGAGTGGAAGAGGAGAGGGGGTCAAGGAGATAAATACGGAGCAGCCAGAGATGCAGGGGGGCAAATGTGCCCCCTGCCCTGGGGTGTGGGAAGCCGGGGAAAAAGAGGGATCCCGGAAGGAAGGGCTAAGAGCCCTGTCAGATGCTGGCCTGAGGGCTAGTTGGGTAGAAACTGGGACCAGCCCAGGGTGTTTGGCAACCCTGACATTTATAACCCTGGGGAGATGATTCCCCGGAGATTCAAGCGCCTGTGTGGACGATCTTTTCTAGAAACTCCACTGTTAAGTGAGTAGAGAGAGTAGATGGGAGAGGAATTTGAGATGAGGGTGAAGTGTTTTAAAGCATGTGTGGTTAGAGTACAGGCTCTGGGTTCACTAGCTGTAAAACCTTAAGTCACTTGACCTCTCTGTGCCTCAATTCCCTCATCTGTATAATGGGGATGATGATGGTAATACCTGTTTCATAGGATTCATGTGAAAATTAGATGAGATGATGTCTGTAAAATTACTTAACGCAGCACTGAAAAGTAGTACCTATTATTTTCCACTTTTATTATTAGAGCTGCTTGAGCATATTTTGATGCTGATGGGAAGGAGCAGGTAGAGAGGAAGGCATTGAAGACAGAGGGGAGAGAAAAGAGACTGGAGCAAAAGGGACCCAGAGGATGTGGATAAGTCTTGGGTGCCTCTCCCGTCCCAAGTCAGGGGAAGGAGGAAACAGGTGGACATGCAGGAGAGTTTGCAGATTCAGGGTGTACAGTTAAGGGAGTGACTTCCTGGTAGTGTTGAAGCAGGCCTCAGGATTTGCTGGGAGGCTGAAGTTCCCGGTTTACACTGCAGCGGCGGGGTACTGTGCTCTCTTTGCCAGCCGCCCCTGGCAGCCCTGGTGTCATACCAGGGAAGGTGGACGGTTGAATTTATCTAGGGTCAGACTACAATGTCTGACCTTCCTGGCCCACCTATCAGGTTCAAGTAAAGTTCATAGATGTGAAAACACTGTATAAGCATAATTTACCATTTTAACCCTTTCCCCTGATTTTGAAGAACTGGAAGGGCTGTGGCTGTGGGCAACATCTGAGTAAAATGTTAAAGCCTTTGGAGCACTTCACTTGGGCTACACACCATGCCACACTTTCACCTACAATCTCATTAAGTCATCACAAGAGTTGGGTGAAGTAGGTATTGTCCCATTTTACAGATGTGGAAACTGAGGTTCAGAGAAGTGAAGGACCATGTCCCACGGCCCACAGCTAGTAAATGGTGGACCCAGGATTCCAACTCAGATCTGTCTGACCTCAAAACGCATGATTTGAAACCACTGTGAAAGTTATCAAAGCCCCTGTAGCCCAGCAGGTCAGATGTGCAGGGACATCTCCATTTGATAAGAGAGATGAGTGGGATACTCTGATCTCCATCCTGGGCTGTAAAGATTCTACCAAGCTCCCTTGTGTCTCTCTTGTGCAGGTGGAAGAACACAGAGCTTGGAGCCCCACAGCCCTGGTATGAATCCCACTCCTGGTATGAACTCACTAGGGACTGTGTGACTTTGAACCAGGCATCTTGCTTCTCTGAGCCTATACACAGCTGCAGAATTCCTGGCAGGTTGTTGTAAGGATTTGGAGGGAAAATGTTGCCCAGCACACAGCAGACGTGCAGGAGCCATCATTCCCACAGTTCAGTTTTCCTGCAAATGTGGATCCATTAACACATCCCGCTTGGCTGCTGAGACCAGCTGCTGTGGTCTTGTATTTGTTTAGCGCTTTGTTCTCCTCAGGGCAGGGAAGTGGTGGCGCCTGAACCGAGTATGTAGCCACCTATGACTTCCTGAGTGGGGTGTGGGGGAGGGCCCTGAGGAGTCTGTGGTCCTAAGGCCTTGGACTTCAAAGGAGAGGAGGGCCTTGTGTCATCACCACGACTGGTACAGAATGCTAGAGGAGTTGGGTCATCACAGGCCTTCCTGCTGCCTCTGGTTGCCTTTGCCATGGGGTCCCAAAATCTTAGAGCCCAGAGACCACCTGTTGCAACTCCTTTTTTTTTCTTTTACAGACGGGGTAATCAAGACCCACTGTGAGGAAGTGACTTTTACCTGAGGTCACCCAGATGCTGACCAGGGCAGAGCAAAAGCACTAGAACTTGAATTTTTGGACCTGCCTCCAGGACCCTGGGGATTTCTACCAGGAAGGTGAGCACCCGCACCGAGAACTCCAGGCTGCTCGAAGGAACCAGGGAACACAGAGAAGTGGCCAGCAGTGGTCCTCTCCTCTGATGTGCCCAGGGAGGAGGCAGAGGAAGCCAGTGGCAGCCTCAAACTCTCAGACAGGGGAACTCTAACTGTGCTTCCTGAAAGTATGTGACACGGTTCTTTTTCTCTGACTGTCTTTCTTGCTTTTTCTCACTCTGAAAAATGACTGGACACTCCTGAAGCCTTCAGTCACCATCCAGGGGATTTTTTTCACCACAAAGGGTAATTCCTGCCCCATCCCTGCCGTGACTCAGCTGTGACGTTGAACCACACAAGCCAGAGAGAAGATAAAGTCATCAGAGAGTCCTGTTCACCAGAGAGGGAGGCCCAGGCCAGGACCCACCTCTCCTGTCATCACAGACTCCACAGGGCTGGTCCCCTGCCCTGGAAGAGCTCAGACGGGCCCTCTGGCCGGCCTGGGACCCCGGGATGGCCTCCAGCTCAGCCGGCAGCCCCCGTCCAGCCCCTGATGAGAATGAGTTTCCCTTTGGGTGTCCCCCCACCGTCTGCCAGGACCCAACAGAGCCCAGGGCTCTCTGCTGCACAGCTTGTCTCTCTGAGAACCTGAGGTGAGGGGACAGAGGAGCAAAGGGTGGACGGGAAGACAGTACAGGGGGTGGTGGGGAGTGATGCCTGATGGGAGGTGAGGGTGAGGAAAGCAGGTGACTTTGGGCAGGTGACTTCACCTCTCTGGACCTCAGTTTCCACACCTTTTCTCACTCTCCCTGACACTGCCCCTCTGGCTGTTGGTGGAAGGAGAAGTAGCCACAGAAAGATGTCAGCTCTCACAGTACAAGGCCAGCCTCTGCCAAGGAAGAGCCTCTAGGCCCAGCTAGGCTATTTACTTACTGTGTGGCCTGGTGCAAGCTGCTAATGTCCGAAGCCACAACTTTCTTATCTATAAAGCTATTTTCTCCCTCACATAATCGTCAGTAGATTGGACCAATCAATAATAATCAAAAAATTTCATATAACAAATATAAAACCCTTGTTAAATGCCAAACTGTTATACAAATATATTTCCTTCCACAATATTGCTCATCACCTCAGACTATTCACTGGAAATCCTTTTAAAGGGGACAAAGGTAGATATATATTAATAGATATAGACAAAATATGTATTTATTTATATTTAAGATGTTAATAACCCAGAAAGGTATGACATCAATACTATTATTAGCATCCCTCTTTGAACAGCTATTATGCACCTACTGTGTGCTGAGTAATCTCAGAACAGCTTGGAGAGGTGGGTACTATTAATAATATCCTATTAGAGAGATTAGATCAGCTTGCCCCAGGCCAGTTTCCTGGCAAATATGCCCTTAAACTGCCTCACATGTTGACCTTTTGTTTGGGGTTTTACAGCTTAAGAAGGTGGGAAAGCTGAATCAGGCAAGTGGGAAGTTCAAATGTGGTGACAAAGGGGGGCTGTGAGAAGAGGGAGGGGAGGTCGCAGCAGTAGAGAGCTATCAGGGGGTGGAGAAGCAAAGCTTGACTGGTTTTACCATCAAGCTGATGTTCGGGGCTCATCTCAGGCTTTGGTGGCAGGTCTCCTTGCTTCCCTCCGTTCTTCCAAAACCTGGCAGAGGAGGGAGGAGGAAGCCGGCTGGAGGTCAGAGGGGCCTGAGGCCTGAAGAGCTTCTGCTCAGCCCAGGTCCAGACCCGCCCTACCTTGGCAGATCTACGTGCCCCCTGGGTCCTCATTTCCCTCACCTGTAAAATGGGCTGGGTCAGTAGCTCTCACTGTGGGTCAGAAGCACTTGGGACCTTTGTAAAAACACAGGTGCCCATGTGTCACCCCAGTCAGAATCTAACACCCACTCCTGATTAAGAACCTCCAGGCTAGATGTCTCTGAGGCCACTGCTTGTTCTAATAGGCCATGATCATCTGTAATTACTAAAAATAAGAGACAAAAACCAAATAGAGGACGCTGAGAAGAGCAAACAGTTACACATCCACAGTCCCTTGCCTAAACCCTGGGGGTCAGATGTGTTTGGAAATTCAGACTTTTTTTAGAAAAGCAAATCAGTGCGTTATGTAATTCTTCTGGCAGAGAGTGGGGTAGCACCCTATGATCAGGCTCATTAAGGTTTCTGCAATGAAACATACAAATATTCACACTAAGCGGGGCAAGTAAGGACTATAATAGCTTCCAGTCAATTGGGGCCAGGTCTGGCTGCCCAGGACGCTCCCTGAAAACTTCAGGAAAAACGTGGGATGCTCAGCGCATTTTGAGGTTTGGGAATGGTGGCTCCAGGATCGTGGACCTGCATGATCATTGATGTCAGTTGCCACACTGGGCAAGGTCTGGGCTTCTGGAGCTGTCAGGAGAGTGGATGGTGCCAGGGCATTGTAGAACCTCACTCAGGGATCTGTTCATGTTTCCCCAGGAATGGCGAAGATCGGATCTGTCCCAAATGCAGAGGGGACGACCTCCACCCCATAAGCCCAGGAAGCCTTCTGACTCAGGAGAAGGTATGTTGGCACATCCAGGAAAGAGTATTTGTCCATTTTCTTGATTTTTCTAGGTTGAGGCCAAATAGGCAGCTGCCTATTTGGCCTCTGGCAGACACTTCCCTTCTTGTCTTGAGTCAGCACTGAATTTGCTTTATAAGTGGTGAGGAGACTGATGTTCACAGTGGTGAAACATCTTGCCCAAAGCTACCTGGCTGGTCTGTGATACATTTAGGGTAACAACGGTCTACACCAGGTGTCCACAAACTTTAGTTCTGGGGCCAAATCCGACTCACAACCTTTTTTTGTACAGCCTATGAGCTAAGAATGGTTTTTATGTTTTTAAATGGTTGAAAAAAATCAAAGACAGAATGATAGAGAGGGATACATGAAAATTATATCCAATGCAAACTTCTGTGTCCATAAATAAAGTTTTATTGGTACACAGCCATGCCCACTCATATATGTGTTGTCTGTGGTTGTTTTCTCCCCACAATGGTAGAGTTGAATACTGGCAACAGAGACTTCAAAGCCTAAAATATTTACTATCTGGCCCTGTACAGAAAAAGTTCACCAACTCCTGATCTAGATAATTCCTTTTGCCCTTATCTGCCCTCATGCAGAAAGAGGCCATTACCAGCTCATCTCTTGGCTCTGCCAAGCTGTGCTTCTAAGAATAAGAGGCGCCTTTGGAAGTGTGAGGGCCCAAGAGACATTTTTAGGAACTACAGTTTAGAACTTTGGCCCTCCTGGGCTGGAAGGACCCTCCTAGTTATCTGTCCATCCTGGAGGTTCTCACATGCCATCCAGAACATACCCATGCCTACCGTTCATAACAAAATGATAAAAGTGAGGAAAGTTTATATAAATAAGTTTATATAAAGCTACATTCTTTCCATTTGTAAAGTCAACCTTAGCTCTGAGATTATGTCCTTCCTATACGTGTCTTTATATAAATGAAATGATGTGAGAGTGGGTGATAGTTTCTGGTAAAGCCTTTACTAGGTAAAATAAAAAAGATAGCAATCTCTATGTTAATCTCTCAGTTAGAAAAATAATTTATGTTGGCCCGTGAATCCAAACATGTAGGAATCACTGCTCGAAATCTAACCCTCTTGTTTACATGTGGGCCCTAAGACTCACTGGGGAGTCTCAGTGCTGAAGTTCTCCTGTGGCCAGGGTCTCACTGCTCAGCGCCCCCTGCCCTGCAGTGAGGTGCCAGCACCTTTCAGCCAAAGCTCTTTACTTGTAGCAAACCATGGCCCAGGGCTCAGGAGCCTGGTGCCCAGGGATGGTTCTGTGTAGTTCACTGCATGGCTGGAGGCGATTGCCATGTTGCTCCATCTGTAAAATGAAGAAGTTAAGTTGGCTTTGCAGAGCCTTTCCAGAATCTGTGATGTCCGGACTGTGGTGTCAATGCTGCCAGGGCAGCTCTCCCTCCCATCTGCTGGACCACAGGCAGGCGAGGCCACACCTTTTCCCTTTTCCACCCTGGTCCTCTCATTCAGAGAGTTTGGGGGAATTTTCTGCCCTACCCAGAGCTAGTTTTAAGGGTTCTCCCATCCCCTTCTCGGCAAGCCCCTCCACCAACAGGCCCTCAGGGAATAATAATAAGCATCGAGTGCATTTTCCTAGAACTTTACACTCTACAACGTGGTACGAGTTAATATGATACGTTGATCATGGAGTAACTTCCTGTGCCTCCCTATCTGGCTGTCTTAGTGGACTGGGTGTGAGACAGGAGCAGACTCAACGCTCTGTGGGCCACTGTGCCCCACCTGCACAAGGGAGGGGCGAGCGGGCTGCTTCCTAAGGCCCTGCCTGCTTGCGTGCTCCAGGACTATTGTTTCCAACCTGTTTTATTCTTTCCTCTTAACAAAATTAATAGGCATGCATTGTATGAATCTTGGATAATATAGATAAGGACATTTTATTATGTCTTAACTCCAGTGGCTTTAATTTTTTCATCTTTTTAAAAGTGAAATCAGATGAAAGTAGAAGTGCTCTGATGGAAGGGGAGCCCAGAGCCCTGTCCTCCTTGTTACCACATTTCTTTCTCCTATCCCAGCCCCTGAGTGATTCTGGGGACTCCCAGGGCCATGCAGAGCACAGTTTGAAACCTGCTGCCTCGAACCAAATGAAGGGACTCTAATGGTGGAATTATAGGCGCCCTAATAGGCCGTGGGTTGGGAGTGGTTGCTGCTACATCTGGGGGCAAAGGCCTCTCGAACACAGGAAGATCCAAGAAGCGTCAGCCCCATCCCTGCTGGCTGCCCTGGCATGTGCAGCCATCACCACAGCCCAGTGGAAAGCTGGGGGAGGGGTGAGTCAGTGGTGTCATCACCTGCACAAAGCCACGGAGGGGAAGGACCAGGGACTCCTCTGGCTCCTGCCCCCGATGGGAACTTTGGGGGACTTTTGACCATAGGAAAGCAGCTGGTGATAAGTCACCACTTTGCATACACGGTGATTCCTACATTTGTCTGTGTGTCTGGAGCACCCCAGGAAAGGGAGACAAGGCAGACCTGCTGAGCTAAGCCCAAAGGCGCCCATCCCTGCAAACACTCTCTGTGCCATCTGCTTATCGGTTTGTCCTCATCCTCTGACTTCATTAGATTAATATCTCCCTAAGAAGTGCCCAGAGCACAGACCCAATGTAAGAGGCAGGTATTAATGGATGAATACTGACCTAGTTAGAGACGTGGTTCTTGCCTGGGATGATCTTCCTTTGACAGTGAAGTAGGGGACCCAGTGGCAGGAAAATAACATTCAATCCTGTCTGCCAAGTACCCACAAATGGAATTGTTTCTCTCGCCCTCTTCCCCCTGAGGCCCATTCGAGAAGGTCAAAGGTAAGCTGGCATCTGATACCAGTGGCTCACAATAATGCCCTGGCTTTTTCTAGAATCAGAAAATGGCAGGAGTCTAAGACGTCCAGCCTAGTTCCCACTCTGTACTGGAGTCCCGCCATGTGGCTCCATGTCCTTCCAATGACAGAATGCCCATGACTCCATGAAACAATCACCCCACCTTGGGGGCTACGACTATTGCAGCATTTTCCTCTTTAGTGGTACTAAGCTGAAGTCTGTCTCCCTTGAGGCCATAAAAGGCAAGTCAGCCTCCTATCTCCCGAGTCAGTCCTGCCTCTGTGGAAGGACACTGACCACGTCCATCTTGAGTCTGTGCCCGGTCTCCGTGCGTTTGGAGTAAATGTGCTCCCACTCATCTGTGTCTCTTGAAGCATGATACCTGGAAATGAACCCCGAACGCTTACACTTCTGAACTTGACAGTTTGCATCTATAATCTCACCAATCCCGTGACATCCTGTGTGGTGGGTGGTGGTGATATCCCTGTTTTACTGATAGGTCTACAAGGTCTGTCCAGAAAGTATCCAGTTATTGTTAATATAATGAGAATGGATACATGGCTAGATGGTATGAACCTACTGTCCAGAAGGTTCTGGACAGTATATTGGCTACGCTCGGTTAGGAGGCGTCCCTGGCTCAAAATCACGTAGCAAATGGGGGGCAAAGCCAGGCTCCAACTCATGCCTCCTAGGCTGGTAACTTCTTCTCTATGCTACCTCCAAATGGGGGATCACCCCCCAAATGTTTTATGCATGTCTTAATAACACCATCAGCCTTAAGTGCTAAAATCCACCCAGTGCTATGGAAAAGCAGGAATGGGCAAGACCAGGAGATTCAGGCAGGGCTTCCTGGAGGAGGTGGCAGTGGAGCTGGGCAGAGGTTGACAGAGGAAACTGGTCTAGTTACAGAGGAGGGCAGGAGCTGGCAGGCAGCAGCACACTGACCAAGTTTCCCTTGTCATTGTCGGGTATCCCACCTCAGCTGTAGCTGAGGCCCAGCAGAAACAGCCCCCTGGGCATGCAGAATCTCAGCTGGCCTCTGAGCCCAGCCCAGCAGGGTGGGCAGTGCCTGGCATGCTCAGACCCTCTTTGTTCCGCACAGCGGCTGCACAGAGGCGGCACTCATGCTCCCGACACCCTCTTAACACATATGCTTAGAGGCCCCCAGGTCTCTGAATGGGGGGCCCCTGCCAGGGCCCACTGTGACCCCACTACAAAGGGCCTGAGTAGCTGGCGTGGCCGGGAAACACCACACACCCAGAGACTTCTCGGACCCAGACAGAAGAGCGAGTGTTCCCTCAGGGCTGGGAATCTGTTTTCTGTGTTTCTGTTTCCTCCTCAGTGGAAATTCCACTGTGAATTTTATTTTTAGCAATTTGCAAGCAGCGAGGCCACTCACACAAGGGCCACTTGTGGCACCAGACTTATACCAGGGTTGGCCCAGGACAGATCCCCTGTTCTTCCTCTGCAACCCGAGCCTGATTCCTTCTCCTTCCCCTTGGTCCCCGGCCTTCAGGTGAGGCCACCCTTTGGTCAAGGCAGGGACTCTCTGGTGGGGAGGAAGGAGCCTGGGCTTGATCTTGCCTTGCCCCACCGCCTCCCACAAGTCCCTGACCACCCCTGAGCTTCGGCTTCCCCGCCTACACATATCGCAGAACCTGAAAGCCCCGACCTCTGCCTCGTGGCTCCGAGGATTCAAAGGGATGGTGCCTGCACAAGTGCCGGGAAAACTGCAAGCCCTTGCACGGCTCGTAACTATGGCAGAGAAGACCCAGATTTGCTCAGCTTCTTGGCTTGCAAGCTTGGTGTGACCCCAAGCAGGCACTCACTTAGTTTCTCTGTAGGTATTAAGCTGAAGCTGATCCAGTCTCAAAGGATTGTTGCAAAGATCCTATGAGAAAACATTCAAAAATGCTTTGGTCCTGTATAAGAGAAGATGTTTTAGGGACTCAAACATTTAGGGATGCTTCTTACCTCCTTGAGGAAATCTAATGGGAAAATGGAATTTTATAGAATTAGTTATTAAGAGTTTGAGATGTGAGGATGAAATGAGACACATGTATGTGACAGCCATTGGGACTTGGGGGAGAGGTCCCAAGGGCAGTGCTTAATCCATAGGAATAATAATACTAATAGAAATACGACTGCTAATGGCTAACATTTGCTGAACACTGTGTTGGGCAGAATAGCCTCCCCTGGAAATGTTCATAACTGAATCCCCAGAACCTGTAACTATGTCACCTCACATGGCTCTGTTTATGTGCTAGGGCTGCCATAACAAAGTACACAGACCAGGCTGGGTGTGATGGCAGGTATCTGTAGTCCCAGCTACTTGGGAGGCTGAGGCAGGAGAATCACTTGAGCTCCAGAGTTTGAGAGCAGCCTGAGCAAGAGTGAGATCAAGAGACTCTATCTCTACTAAAAACAGGAAAAAATAGCCAGGCATGGTGGCACGCGCCTGTAATCCTAGCTACTTGGGAGGCTGAGGCAGGAGGATCCCTTGAGCCCAGGAGTTTGAGGTTGCTGTGAGATATGACGATGCCACTGCACTCTAGCCCAGGTGACAGAGCAAGACTTGTCTCAAAAAAATAAAAAAAATTAAAAGTTACACAGACTGGGTGGTGTAAACAACAGAAATTTATTTCTTCACAGTTCTGGAGACTAGAATTCTAAGACAAGGTATTGGCAGGGTCGGTTTCTTCTAAGGCTTCTCTCCTTGGTTTGTATTAATAGATGGCCATCTTCTCCCCGTGTCTTCACATGGTCCTTCATGTCCAAATTTCTTCCTCTTACAAGGACACCAGTCACACTGGATTTGGGCCCACCCCTAATGACCTCAATTTTAACTTAATTAGCTCTTTAAAGATCCTGTCTCCACATTCTGATATACCAGGGATAAGGACTTCAACATATGTATTTGGGTGGGGGGACACTGCGCCCATAACAATGGCAAAAGAGACTCTGCAGACACAATTAAACTAGGGAAACTGAGAAGGAGAGATTACCCTAGATTATCTGCATGGGTCCTAGGTCCTCATAAGAGGGCAACAAGAGAGTCAGAGAGATCGGAAGATGCTCCACTGCTGGCTCTGAAGATGGTGGAAGGGGCCCCAAGCCAAGGAGTGCAGGCAGCCGCTAGAACCTAGAAAAACCAAGGGAACAAATTCTCCCCTAGGGCCCCTTAGAGAAACGCAGTCCTGCTGACATTTTGCTTTTGGACTTCTGACCTCCAGAACTGTCGATAATAAAGTTGTGTTGTTGTGTTATTTTAAAGCATTAAGTCAGTGATACTTTGTTATAGCAGCAATAGGTAATAATACCAAAACTTATTGGATTGTCTCATTTAATCCTCATGAAAACTCTGTAAGGAGGGGCACCGTTACTATCCTCACAGAAAACTGCAACATGGAGAGGTTAATAACTCTTCCAGGGCCACACGGCTAGTACATGAGGTGACAGAAATGGGTTCTGAACCCCAATAGGCTGGCTCCAGAGCCCCACCCTGAACTCCCATATATCTGAGGAATGAGTGACTGATGATGGGGCTTAGGGCAGCCTGGCTGACCACCGAGGCCTCTGAAGGCCTCTTGAGTCACCTGCCCCCTCCTCCAGCAGCCATTCCAGGTCATAGTTCACACCTGCACATGCCTCCTAGAAGGATAACCTGTACATACATACAGCATTCTACCCCCTGCCAGGGGCTTTCACTGCTCACACGACACCAGGAAGGCTCAGCTGCCAGAGAACACACCCCGTCCACCTGCAGGGTGACTCTGAGCTTGGTCATTTTCACTTTCTATCCCTTATGACTCTCACTTCAAGTTTCCACCCTTAGAACCACAGAAGATTTAAATCATGGACTTTTGGGGAGTTGCAGGGCCTGAGAGGTTACCCCAAGTCCATTCACCCAGAAGCTGGGTCCACACCTGGCATGAGGCCCTCCATCATTCCCACAAGTCTAAAGCTACCTGTTGGGAGATGCTTTGTCGCCACAGACTTCCCGAAGCCAGTGCGATCTCCCTGCCAGGGCCGCCCTCTGCCTGCCCCCCATAAAACATCTGTTTTCTATTCTCTGTTGGGAACAAATTGTCCCTGAAGCCCAGGGCAGTGGGGCAAGGGGGGTGGCTCTTTGCTGAGCTGTGCTCTGTGTCCCAAACCAATTGTACTCATTAAGCCCGCAGCTCTCTGCTTATTTTACTTTTAAAGAATAATAACTCGTATGGCTTTGTAGTTGCTCAGCCCAGAAGACCTCTCTCTCCCTCCTTTCATTCGAATCGCCTTTCACATGGCCTTAGGAGATTATTCTTTAAAAAGAAAAAAAAAACAAAGCTCTTGTAAAATCAAGATATTATTTACATGCAATAAAATTCACCCATGTTAAGTGTATAGTCTGGTGAGTGTACATCATCGTGTGCCCACTACAGTCAAGATGTCAAGCATTTCTGCTGCAGATAAAGCTGCTTCGTGTCCCTGCGCAGTCAGTCCCTCTTACCCACAGCCCCAGGCAACCACTGATCTACTTTCTGTCACTACAGTTTTGCCTTTTCTAGAATCTTGTAAGAATGAAATCAAGTAGTATATAGTCTTTTGTGTTTGACTTGTTTCATTTCAGTATGTTTTTGAGGTTCATCCATGTTATTGTTTATATTAGTATTTAATTCCATTTGATTGCTGAGTAGTGTTCTATAGTATGGATATACCAAAAATTGTTTATCCATTCGCCAGTTGGTGACATTTGGGTTGGTTCCAGTTTGAGCTATTATGAATAAAGCTGCTATGAACATTCACATACACATCTGTGTATGGACATATGTTTTACTTTCTCTTGGGTAAATTCCTAGGAGTGGAATGTATGGATTGTATGGTAACTTTGTAAGTATGGTTTATAAGTAAGTTATTTCATAAATATGGTTTAACTTTATAATATACTTCTATAGATTTTTCCAAAGTGTACCATTTTGCTTTCCCACCAGCAACATATGAGAGTTCTCACTGCTCCACATCCTCGCCAAAACTCAGTATTGTCACTCTTTTTAATTTAAGCCATTCTAGTGAGTGGGTAGTGGTATTTCCTTGTGGCTAGCGGCATTTACATTTCTCTGATGACTAGTTATGTTGAGCATCTTTTTTGTCATTCACAGATCTCCTTTTGTGAAGTATCTTTGAAGTATTTTGCTCATTTTTATTAGGTTTTCTGTCTTACTATTATCGGATTGTAAGAGTCCTTTATAGATTCTGGATACCAGCCCTATTGCAGGTACAGTCAAGCATCACATAACAATTGTTTCAGTCCACAATGGACCGAATGTACAAGGTGGCCCCATAAGCTTATAATACCATATTTTTGTGGTACCTTTTCTGTGTTTAGATATACAAATACTTACCATTGTGCTACAATCATCTACAGTATTCAGGACAATAACATGCTGTACAGGTTTGTAGCCTAGGAGCAATAGACTATACCATGTAACAGCCTAGGTGTATATAGTAGGCTATCCAGGGATGGGGAACCTGCAGCCTTCTGATTTCAAGATTGTTCTTTTTTAAGCACCAAAGGAGGCGAGAGAAGCTTCATCTTTTTCTGTTGCACCCCTTTTAATAAAAGGATTTGTTCTGTAAAATATGGATGCAGTTAAAAGGCTACACTTAAGGACCTAGAAGGCCACATGTACCTAGAAGGTACTACCATCTAGGTTTGTGTAAGTACACTCCATGATGTTCACACGATGACGAAGTCGCCTAATGGTGCCTTTCTCAGAACATATCCCTGTTGTTAAGTGACACATGACTGTCTGTGCTTTGAAAAAAAATTTCTCCCATCTCCTGTGGACTTATTCTGCCCCCACCATGGGCTTATTCTTGATGAGAGAGTGATGCGGTGTGGGAGGAGTACTGGGGCTGTGCTGCTCCCTAGCTCTGCCTCCTTGGGCAAATCCCTTTCCCTCTGTGAGTCTCAGTTTCTTCATCAGTAAAATCGGGGGGAAAAACCCTACCCCAACTTCCCCACAGTGTTGTAATGAGCCCAAGGAAGAATTATGACAGCATTATGACAGAATTGTGAAGAATTATGAAAGCATTTGGCAAACCCTTCAGACCTAAATAGGTTGACAGTAATATCAAGTTGCCGTTAGTACTAAGATCCTCCTGTGTCCCTGCCTTTGGGCTGCGTGTCATCTGGAAGGGAAAGCCGGGCAGCGCAGGCACACCTCAGTCAAGGACAGATGGCCAGGGAGGGATGCAGATGGGCATTGTGAGAAGGGGAGTCCTCATGGACTTCAGGAGGACGGAAGCGCCCATTCATGCAGCCAGCATGCCCTGAGTGTCTCCTCTGTGCCGGGCACCACCCTCAGCACTGATGACACAGCCGTGACCCTCACAGAGCCCTCAGACCAGCAGGGGCAACCAGCTAGTGAACAATGATAATAGAGAATATATTATGGAGAATGGAGAAAGAGCAGTACTGCCCAGGATCACAGCAGGGATCCTGGTTCTGTTTCAAAGGAAGGTCATGGAAGGGCTAAGCTCAAAGGGTGGAAAGGAGTCAGCCAGGCAGAAGGAACAGCATTTGCAAAGTCATGTGGCCCAGTCCAGCTCCTGGCCTCATGGATCCTGGTGCATTGCAGAGAGCCCTAGGGGTGGCCACAGGGATCCCCATAACATCCAGTGACATGTTATTATTTCCAGGTTCACCCTGAGATAGATGAGGCTGAAGTTGGGTGCCCCTTTGCAGGTGTTGGCTGCTCCTTCAAGGTAAGTATCTGTGTGTAAGAAAGATCTGTCTACTACGGCTCCACACCTCTGGGCCTCCCCGTTCCAGCCCCGCCAGGATTTCCTCATAACATCAAGCAACTCCTCTGGACATTCCTCATACTAATGACTTTCCCAAGCAATAATTCGCACTATTACATCATCACAGTACTCGGGGAAGTTCTTCGTAACATCTCACCTAAGCATTGGTGTAACTTCACTAAAGTGACCGCCCCCCCATGCCTCTCTCCATGGTTCTGAACCATCGTTTTGCTCAAGGGCAGGGCCAGATCATTGCTCTAGAGACTGAGATGCATGTGGCTCATCCTGGGCATGGCTGATGTCAGGGTCCTCCTCCCGAATCCCTCCCAGTGTACAGAAAGCCACTTCCCCTTTGCTGGGTGAATGGATGTCCAGTGCTTGGTGACCTTTGATGGCAGGGCTCTCCACTCCTCCCTGGCCCGACCTCCACCCCTGTTTTCACTGAGCAGACCCACTCTCTTGGCAGGGAAGCCCACAGTCCATGCAGGAGCATGAGGTCACTTCCCAGGCCTCCCACTTAAACCTGCTGCTGGGGTTCATGAAACAGTGGAAGGCCCAGCTGGGCTCTGGCCTAGGGTTCGGGCCCATGGCCCTGGAGCAGAACCTGTCAGACCTGCAGCTGCAGGCAGCTGTGGAGGTGACGGGAGACCTGGAAGTGGACTGCTACCGGGCACCCTGCTCTGAGAGTCAGGAGGAGCTGGCCCTGCAGCACTTCATGAAGGAGAAACTCCTGGCCGAGCTGGAAGGAAAGCTGCGCGTGTTTGAGAACATTGTTGCTGTCCTCAACAAGGAGGTAGAGGCCTCCCACATGGCCCTGGCCGCCTCCATCCACCAGAGCCAGCTGGACCGCGAGCGCATCCTGAGCTTGGAACAGAGGGTGAGTGCGGGAAGCAGTTTTGCCTTCAAGGCTGGCTCAGGGAGCCCCATCCTGTCTCCAGAGTAGTGGACAAGCCTTCTTCCTAATCATTCACCCTGCTCAGAGCAGCCCCTCCCCCATCAAAATGTATCTCCCCTGTATCCCAGGACCTTCCAGGAAGAGTACTGAGTCAGAAGCTATCATCAAGGTCAGACACCCCCAACCAGTGCTTTAGTTCCTTTGCTTGAACTTCTCCTTTGATAGGACACCCCCTCACTGGCAGCTCGTTCTGTTGTGGGACATTTTTCACTCTTAGCAAGTTCTTCCTTAGGCTAAACTAAAACCAGCCTCTCTCTATCTTCTCTGCTGTATTCCTGGCCCTGCCCCTTGGGGCCCATAAAACAAAGCTGCCTTCTAGTCCCTGCGGCAGCCCTTCAGAGAGGGATAGTCAGTGATTATATCCTATATCCTACCTGAGATTTCCTTCTTTAGGCTAAAAGCCCCAGTGCCTTCACTCCTTCATCAGAGCACATTGTTTTATGTTGTCCTCATATGCTCTGGCTCAGTCTCTAAAGGATTCTATATGCTCGGAGTGTGGTCCCAGACTGACTCCAGATAATCCACTTATCTAAGAATTCTTAGTCCAACGGGACTGTCCCCTCCTTTATTCCAGAGTTTATACCTTTCTTTTTCTTTTTTAATTTTTCGACACATATTAATAGTATTTTACATATTTATGGTACATGTGATATTTTGTTACATGCATAGAATGTGTACTGATCAAGTCGGGGTATTTGAGGTGTCCATCGCTTTGAGGATTTATCATTTCTGTGTGTTGGGAACAATTCAAGTCCTCTCTTCTAGTTATTTTGATATATATAATACATTGTTAACTGTAGTCACCATATTCTGCTGTCAAGTGATAGAACTTACAGCTTTTATAATATATAAATGGATGTTTGTACCTGTTAACCTACATCTCTTCATCCTCCTCTCCCGCCCACCCTCCCTTCCCAGCCTGTAGTATCTGTCATTCTACTCTCTATCTTTATAAAATCAACTTTTTTAGCTCCCACATATGAGTGAGAACATGTGATATTTGCCTTTCTGAACCTGGGTTATTTCACTTTACATAATGACCACCAGTTCCATCCATGTTGTTGCAAATGATAGGATTTCATTCTTTTTTTGTGACTGAGTAGTATTCCATTGTGTATGCATACAACATTTTCTTTTCTCTTTTGGTTTTTTAAGCATCAGTTTGGTAAAAAAAACATGCCACATTTTCTTTACCCATTCATGCTTTGATGGACACTTTGGTTGATTCCATATCTTTGCTATTGTGAATAGTGCTACAATAAACATGCAAGTGCACGTGTCCCTTTGATATACTGATTTCTTTTCCTTTGGTTAAATACCCAGTAGTATGATTGCTGGATTTTATGGTAGTTCCAATTTTAGTTTTTGGAGAAATCTCCATATTTTTTTCCATAATGGTTGTGTTAATTGACATTCCCACCAACAGGGTGTAAGAGTTCCCTTTTGGCAGGACATGGTAGCTCACTCATGCCTGTAATCCCAGTGCTTTGGGAGGCCAAGGCAGGAGGATGGCTTGAGACCAGGAGTTTGAGTCCAACTTGGGCAATATGGTATGACGCTGTTTCCACAAAATAATTAAAAAATTAGTCAGGCATGGTGGCACATGCCTGTGGTCGTAGCTACTTGGGAGGCTGAGGTAGGAGGTTCACTTGAGCCCAAGAGTTGGAGGCTGCCATGAGCTATGATCAGGCCACTGCACTCCAGCCTGGTAACAAAGTGAGACTCTGTTTCTAAAAAAAAAAAAAAAAAAGAGTTCCCTTTTGTCTACATCCTCACCAGCACCTGTTATTTTTTGTCATTTTAATAATAGCCATTCTAACTGGGGTAAGATGATATCTCATTGTGATTTTGATTTGCATTTCCCTGATGATTAGTGATGTTGAACATTTTTCATATACCTGCTTGTATATCTTCTTTTGAAAATTATCTATTTATGTGCTTTGCCTACTTTTTAATCAGCTTATTTGGTTTTTTATTGTTGAGTTATTTGAGTTCCTTGTATTTTCAGGATATTAGTCCCTTGTCAAATGAATATTTTGCAAGTATCTTCTCTCATTCAACAGGTTGTCTCTTCACTCTGTTGATTGTTTCCTTTGCTGTGTGGAAGCTTTTTAGTTTAATACAGTCCCATTTGTCTATTTTTGTTTTAGTTGTCTGTGCTTTTGAGGTCTTAGCCATAAAATCTTTGCCAAGATCAATGTCCTGGAGTATTTTCCTTATGTTTTCTTCTAGTAGTTTTATACTTTCAGGTCTTACGTTTAAGTCTTTAATTCATCTTGAGTTGATTTTTGTATATGGTGAGAGATAGGGGTCCAGATTCATTCTTCTGCATATGGATATCCAATTTTCCCAGCACCATTTATTGAAGAAATAATCTTACCCCAGCCCCAGTGTATGTTCTTGGCACCTGCCTCTGCCTCCCAAGTAGCTGGGACTATAGGTGCATGCCACCATGCCCAGCTGATTTGCCTATTTTTTGTAGAGATGGGGTCTTGCTATGTTGCCCAGGGTGGTCTTGAACTCCTGGTCTCAAGCAATCCTCCTGCCTCAGCCTTCCAAACCACTGGGATTACAGGCATGAGCCACCACACCTGGACAACATTGGTGTTTTGATACGGATTACATTGAATCTGCCTGTTGTTTTGGGCAGTATGGTCATTTTAATATTAATTCTTCCAGTTCATGAGCATAGGGTGTCTTTCCATTTATTTGTGTGCTCTTCAATTTCTTTCATCAGTGTTTTGTTGTTTTCCTTATAGAGGTCTTTCACCTCCTTGGTTAAATTTATTCCTAGGATTTTTTTTATAGCTATTGTAAATGGGATTGCCTTCTTGATTTCATTTTCAGCTATTTTATTATTGGTATATAGAAATGCTACTGATTTTTGCATGTTAATTTTTGTATCCTGCAACTTTGCTAAATTTGTTTATCAGCTCTAAGAGTTTTTTGGTGGAGTCTTTTGGTTTTTCCAAATATAAGATCACGTTATCTGTAAAGAGAGACAATTTGACTTCCTCTTTCCCATTTTGGATGCCCTTTATTTCTTTCTCTTGGCTGATTGCAGAGCTTATGCTTTTCTTAATGTAGCCAATCGCCATTCTCACGTTGCTTTTTCTGCAGCAGCCTTACATCGTCGTCTCACACTGAGTTAGGCCTGGATTTCAGGTCCAGTTCTGCCAGTAACTTGCTGTGTAGGTCTGAGCAAGTCACTTTCACGCTAAGGACCTAAGCTTCCCCCACAGTAAAATTAAGAATTAAATTTTCTTTAAGGACACTCGCTTCTATTCCTGGCTTCGCTACCTTAGCATACCTGAGAATAAATCTGCATTCTTTCAAATTTCCCAGGGGAAACCTACCATTAATAGAAGGTCTAGGCACTGGGTTCAAATGCCTGAATAAAGCCTACATTTATGTAACTCTTGCTTCACCAACAACTTCCTGGCTATACTTTTACATGCCAGGCACTATGCCAGGCATGGACACAAAGATAAAATGAGCATGGGCCCAGCCCTCAGTGGAGGAGACCGTGTGGTAGGAAAGGCAGAAAAATCTATCCCATAAAACGTTGTACAGACTCTGTAAGAACATAGATGAGACCAACCAGCCGAGCTAGGGCAGTGGTTGAAGGCTTCCCAGAGGAAGGGACATAGGAGCCAGATTCCTAATGGATGAATAGGAGTTGGCCGGTGGAGGAGGAAGGAAAAGGAACTCCAGGCAGGAGGCGGCTCATGCAAATGCAGACACACATGCTTGAGTGAGGTGTGGTCAAGGAAAGCATATCTGGGGCAGATCCATCTCCATATACCACCATCCCCACCTCATCCTCAAGCCAGGTTCTGATGTCCCTGGCTGAACGGGCTTCCCTGCAGGTGGCGGAGTTGCAGCAGACACTGGCCGAGAAAGACCAGGCCCTAGGCAAGCTGGAGCAGAGCCTGCGCCTCATGGAAGAGGCATCCTTTGATGGCACCTTCCTGTGGAAGATCACCAATGTCACCAGGCGATGCCACGAGTCAGCCTGTGGCAGGACTGTCAGCCTCTTCTCCCCAGGTAACACCTCCCAGGAGCACAGAGACCAGCTGGAAGAGGCAGACCCCACAGAGCTCAGGAAATGAGCAGTGAGAATAGCCAACTCTGACAGCTGGGCTGTGTCTAGTTAGGCTGGTGTCCATTCAGGCCACTTACCACAGCCAGGAACTGTGCTGGGACCATGGGGGTGGTAGGTGAACCATGCTCTGACAGGTGGCTCTCAGCCACATACAACGGTGGCCTGGGCAGGCCATTTTCCCTCCCCGAATATCAGTCATAGCCTGCAAATAGGAAAGAAAATTGTTATCCACTTCCTGTGGACATGGGATGTGAAAGGTGTGCTGTGAGCCAGAGCTCGTGCAGATGAGAGGGATGCAGATGGTGGTTTTCACAGACGAACACCTGGGGACCCCTGCCCTCGGGGAGCCAGCGGTCTGAAATAAGACAAGTAGGGAACTGAGTAAAACACATGCACATTTGCGTGTGATTGCGGGTAGCGCACAGATAAGTGTTGTGTAAACTGGAACAGTTCTTACTCATTTCTGGGTTCTGGGGCTGGGCACAATGTCTTGCATAAAGTAATGACTTGGTAAATGTTTCTCTTAACAAATTGATGTCAGTTAATATACCGGTGCATATATTTGTGCATGAAATGAGGCAGCAGTTTGCCCTGCACCTCAGAGCAGGGCTGGGACCTCTTCCCTCCAGGAGCAGCGTTCATCCCACTCTGTGAGGACAGCCCTCTTCATGGGGTGGCCGTGTACCCCACACGCAGACCTTTTTACCTCAATTCTTTCCAAAGAGGGAAAAAGCAAGCAGTGCCTCGGGCTTCCTGTTCTACCAAAACATAACAGGCAGAGATGAGTCAGGCTGCCAGCCTGTCCCTCCTCCACCCCTTCCTGCCTGCCCCCCACCCCCATCCCCACCCAGCCCCTCCCAGAAGGGCCGTGTGCCGATAGGTGACAGCTGCTGGAACCCACACTCGGATGGGGTGGCCCTTTCAGCTGCCCAGGGGGAGAGCCCATGGGTTCCTGTGCTTCTCCACCAGGGATGACTCAGCCCTCAGGGGCCTTTGCCGAGGGCGGCTGGCAGAACCATGAGTCACCCCACACACCCCCAGCCTCCAGGAGAGCCCAACCAGTTGGCCTAGGGCAGCAGAAAGAAACCGGTGTTGAGAGGCAGGAAGCCTGGCCCCTAATCCTGTCTCTGCCTCCAACACACTGTGAGATGGTGACCAGCACTTCCTTTTACTGGGCTCGGTTTTCAGACTCTAAAATGCAGGTTTGTTAGATCAGGGTTTCTGAAAGTGTGGTCCCCGGGACAGCAGCATTGGTGTCCCCAGCAAACTTGTTAGAAATGCAAATCCTCAGTCTCACCCCAGTGCTACTGAGTCAGAAACTCTGAGGGTGGGGCCCGGCAGTCTGTGATTTGGATGGCCAGTTGGCAACCACGGGACTAGATGATCTCCAAGAGCCCGTTCCTCTTTGACACTCTAATCAAGAAGAATGCTGGGCTCTAGACCCAGCTGTCTTAGTTTTGAGCCACTGGCCTGGGGCATGCCTAACCACTGGGTCCCTGTTCCCTCATCTGCAAAGTCCAGCACTTCCCAGCTGCCTGTGTGTTTCAGCTTTCTATACTGCCAAGTACGGCTACAAGTTGTGCCTGCGGCTGTACCTGAATGGGGACGGGACGGGAAAGAGGACCCACCTGTCGCTCTTCATCGTGATCATGAGAGGGGAGTACGACGCTCTGCTGCCGTGGCCTTTCCGGAACAAGGTTTGGGCAGGGGCTGATGGGGGTGCGGTGGGGGGAGTATGGGAACCTGGGGCCTAGTCCTCGTTCAGGCATGAACTGGCCACGTGGCCTGGGCAAGTCCCCCACCTCTCTGCATTGTCAGTTTCCCCTTTTATAAAACAAGAAGCTGACTCCAGATCTAGTAGCCAAGGCTTCCTCCAGCTCTGGGAATCCAGGAGCTAAAATGTCTGGAACAGAGCACTCCTGAAGGTTCTAGAGAAATAACCTATTCACATGGTAGGGGGAATACAGAAACTGCCTGGAGGTGCTGTGAGGCTGGCCTGAACTGGCAGGATTTCCAGAAAAAGGGGAAAGAGGCAGATACCAAATACACACCTAGTAAAGTGGCCAAAATCCAGAACAATGACAACACCAAATGCTGGAAGGACGTGGAGCAGCAGGAACTGCCATCCATTTCTGGTGGGAATGCGCAGTGGTTCAGCCACTTTGAAAGACAGTGTGGCCATCTCTAACAAAACTAAACATACTCTTACCACACAGTCCAGCAGTAACACTGCTTGCTGTTTACCCAAAGGTGTTGAAAACTACATCCATGCAAAAACCTGCATGCAGTTGTTTATGGCAGATTTATTCGTAATTGCCAAAACTGGGAAGCAACCAAGATGCACCTTCAGTAGGTGCATGTCTGGTACATCCAGACAATGAAATATCATTCAGTGCTGAAAAGAGATGAGCTGTCAAGCCTTGAAAAGACATGGATGAACCCTAGACGCATATTACTAAGTGAAAGAAGCCAACTTGAAAAGACTGTATATTGTATGGTTCCAACTACATGACATTCTGGGAAAGGCAAAACTATGGAGACAGGAAAAAGATTAGTGGTTGCCAAGGCCAAGGGGCAGGGAGGGATGAACAGGGGGAGCACAGAGAAATTTTAGGGTAATGAAATTACTCTTATGATACTATTAATATAATGGTGGGTACATGTCATTATACATTTGTCAAAGCCCATAGAATGTGCAGCACCAAGAGCGAACCCTAATGTAAACTATGGACTTCAGGTGATAAAGATGTGTCAACGTAGGTTCATCCATTGTAACAAAGTACCACCTGGTGGGGAGGTTGACAGACGTGTAGGCCAGGGGTATGTGGCCTGGCCACATAGTAGGCCACATAGTAGAAAATCTGTATTTTCTACTCAGTTTTGCTGTGAACCTAAAACTGCTCTAAAAAATAAGGTATATTATCAATTTTTAAAGGGGGGTGTTGGGGGAGGCTAGGCAGTCCCTGCAGGTGAACAGCAGCATTGCATGAGGGGGAGGTGCCAAGAATACAGACCTCAGCTGGGTGCGGACACAGGTCGGGTGGGGAAACAGATGGGGCAGGGTGAGCGTGCCACAGTGGCCTGGGTGTGAGTCAGCAGTCCCCACCGCCCAGCGGTTCCCAAAGGTGCTGGGGAGATTGTTTTAAATACCAACGACTGGGTCTCAGCCCAGCAAGTGTTAAGGCCTGAGCACCGGGATTTTTAAGCCTCCCCAGGGGATTCTAACGTGCAACAAAGTTTAAGGACTGCTTCAGTAGGTGATGGGAAGACATTTCAGGGTCCTAGGGGGCGGTTTCAGGGGCATGTGCCAAGGAAGAGAGTTCATGTCACTTTTAGATGATCGGCTTCTTGGGGTGCCCATATCTGCCCTGTGTAAACCAGAAGCTCCATAAATGTTTGAGGGCACTGACCGACAGCCCCTCCTTCACAGGCCTGCCTGCCCTTGCCCTTCTGCCTTGCCCCAGAAGGTTTCAGCTGTAGTTGATGATCAAAAATTTCTGAGCCAGGAGTTAGAGTCCAGTAGCCTTGTCAGTGCCTCGGTCCCTCCTTTAGCTCCCAACAGCCAATCACACTTGGCTGAGGCATCAGACTCCCGTCACCAGCAGGAAGGAACATCTGATCCCAGTCAGAGGCCAGCCCTGGAGCCTGCTCGGAATTGCAGGTGCTCTGGCTGCTGGGGTCTTGCCATCCGCCAGGGGCAATCCTTACACGGTTCCTCTGACTCCTAATCTGACTGGGCTAAGGGTCAGAGGGGCCACACAGGCAGCAGGCACAGAGCCCGGCTCTGAGCCCAACATGGGCCTCCCTGCCATGGTGCTGCTGCCCGGGGCCTGATCTCCCACCTGGCCCTGCCCTGCAGGTCACCTTCATGCTGCTCGACCAGAACAACCGTGAGCACGCCATTGACGCCTTCCGGCCTGACCTGAGCTCAGCATCCTTCCAGCGGCCCCAGAGTGAAACCAACGTGGCCAGTGGCTGCCCACTCTTCTTCCCCCTCAGCAAGCTTCAGTCGCCCAAGCACGCCTACGTGAAGGACGACACCATGTTTCTCAAGTGCATCGTGGAGACCAGTGCTTAGGGTGGGAGGGTCGGCTCCTGAGGGAGCACCAGCTCAGACTGGGGGCTTAGCAAGATAACCATCATATCCTGCCCTTGACGTCCAAGACCCCAGGGCACAAGGATGGGCCAGGGCTAGCATGATCTGAGCAGGAGTGACGGGTTGACCGTGGCCGGCCCTCAGCTGAAGATGGCGGGACATCGGGCTGGAAAGGGTCCAGAAGAAGGTGGGCAGAACTGCTCCCCTACTCACCAACCACATGACACTGGGAGGTCAGGGAGCCCCATCAGCCCTGAACATTGAGGCAGACTTTGACCAAGATGGGGAGAAAATGGGGCCAGGCCCAGAGCTTCAGGACCTGAGCAGAGAAGAAGTCAGGCTGGGAGGCCTCTGTAGGGTACCACAGAGAACTGGAAACAGGCTTGCTCTCTTCCTGCCCAGGGGCAGAACCAGGACCAGGGGGTGGAAGGGATGGGATGCCCATGTGAATTCAGTCTGTCCAGGCCTGGACTGAGTTCCCCGTCCCTGGAGGTGAACAAGCAAATCCAGAGGGCTACACTGGAGCATCAAATTGGGGGTTGGATTTGAAGAACTTTATGGTTCTTTCCAGCCCAGAAAGTCACTAATTCTAGGCCTCCTGGCCCAGGCGAGGCCTAGGACTGTAGGGAGGTTTGGAAACACTCAGGAGCCTCATGCCCTCTGGGTTCCTCACTCACCTTTAGTACCCCCAGGTGGACTGAGCTGGCCCACAGGGCACCTGCCACCCTGGGCCTGGCAGCTCAGCTTCCCCAACATGCAGGAGCACACACAGCCCTTGCGTCTTGTCCTCCACCAGCCAAACACCCCTTTACTTCATCCAGGTGAAACCAGGTCACTGTGAGCTCCTGGGAGCAGCCAGAGAAGCACAGAGGAGGAGAGGGGCATAAACTTCCCACTTCCCTGCCTGGAGGCCCCACCTTTGGTACTTTCCAGAATCCCACATGACCTCATTAACTAAAGCATTCACCTCGCTCAGTTGACTGATCAGGGCCTCTGAGCCACTGAGCAGAGGTTGTTCTTTGTATATGTATAAAACCAAAGAAAGAATTTTTTAAATCTCATTTAGATTTTTCACAAAGTGCATGGCTGTGGGAATTGGTCATAGCCAGCCAAGTTTGAAAAGTCCATTGCTGAGTTTTGAGGTGATGCCGCCAGTTCTGCAGGTGGCAGCAGAGGGCGGTGTGCCGGCAGGAACCTCCGCCTTGGCCTCTGTCTTCTCTGTCCTGCAATGGGAGACGCACCCCCAGCCGGCCTCCCACATTGAGTTCTCCAACCCTCAAAGGAGATGCCACATGAGAGGGACTGGGAGAGAGAGGCCCTGGGCACCGCTGCCTCCCTGTCACATTCCGTTGGTGGCCTATGTTTGACTTCTCACCTTGGAGGCCTCACCCAATGTTCCAGAGACCCTGAGACTTCCTGCTGCTCTCTGCGGCAGCCTTCCCAACAGCTTACTCTTCCTTTGCTGAAGCTGTGATAGACTTCCCTCCTCAAACCTTCCAGGTTTCTTCTGTAAAATGGGCCAGTAGCCCTGCCTGTTCTCTCTAGCCCAGCGTCTGGGAGGATCAAAGGAGGTGAGGGAGCATCGTGGCACAGTGGGCTCAATAGATCAGGGGCCAGGTCCAGCCTGGCTGTAAACCTGGCATCCTTTCGTGCCTCAGCCTCTTCATCTGAAAACCAGGAGGAGCCCAGCTCACAGGGTTCACAGGAGGCGCAGCTGCAGTGATGGGGCACCGGCGCTTTGTACGTGCAATGGCGTCTTCTGTGCACGACAGGCTGCAAACACGCCAGGGCTGCTTTTTCTTGTTCCCATTGCTGATAGCGTGTCAGCGACAGAGACTGACTTGCTTCCCTTTGACAGGTGGATGTAACAGGTAAAGGTCTGGCCTAGCAAGTTATGGATTCTGCCTCGGAGCTGGTGCCCTAGCAATGACCTCTCTATCCCTTCTCACCGAGTGCTGAGCTAAAGGGGGATTCATAGGACAAGGCACCACAAGGGACTGCTGTCCCTCTACAGCTTTAATTGCTTGTTTCTGATGGGAAGACACATACTCTCTGCAAACAGTGCGAGATGCGTCCATTCTTTCAGCAAAGATTCACTGACACTGCGTGTGTCACGTGCTGTGCTGGACACTGGGGAGAAGGAAGGTAAGATGTGCACCCTGCCCTCAAGAAACTTTTAGTTCTGTGGGGGAAACAGGCCCATAAGTAGATCATTATGACTAAGAGAAGCTCAGAGAAAGCTCAGAATCCCAGATCCACTGGGTGGGGCAGGGAGGGCTTCATGGCAGAGGTGGCATTTAAACGCAGCCTGGAAATATTTTGAAATGCAGAGGATGGGGGGCAGGGGAGAGTACGGACTTGGAGACAGGAAGCGGGCTTGCCTACAGGTGGGGTCTGTGTGGCAGGACGGTGGAGGGAAGTGGAAAGGTAGGATGAGCTGGAGTGTGGATGGCATCAGATGCGGCACTGCTCTCCCCAAAGCCCCTGCTGGGTAACCCTTGGCCTGCTAACAGCAGGATGAGACAATGGTTTAAAGCGTTGAATAATTTCTCTTCCAACAAAGCTTTATGTTAAATGCAACAAAGAGCTCACATTTCATCTCTCATAGGTGACTCAAGGATGGGGGAGGCAAGACACAGGCAGAGCCCCTGTTTCACTGGGTCCTCACAACCCCCCAATGTGGCAGGCACCCTTCAATCCCCTTTTACAGATTAGGAAACGAAGGCCTGAGACCAGGTGCCTTGTTTAAGGTTTGGGGTGGGGGGAGTTGGCATTAGAAACCACGTCTTTTGTTTCTAGTTACTTTCCTTCCTCTTCAAGCTTCCTTTTGGGTAGAGTCTTCAGCCACAACGAGGTTACATCCTCATGGGAGGCCCTGAGGGGCTGTGGGTCCTTCTGCCCCCAGCCAGAAGGCCAGCCCTGCAGGACCAGGAGGGCAGGGCCAGCGCAGCTGGCAGCACACAGGCTGCTCGCAGAGGCCGCCTCATTCTTGTCTGCAGGTGATGCTCAGACAGCCCCGGGCAGTGAGGACAACTGATATTTATGCCTTCGGTTGCTCATTTCTGATTGTAAGAGACACATACTCATAATAGAAACACTGGAAAACTACAAAAGTAACATACAGAAGAAAGTAAAAATCACCATGAGCCCAGCGTCCAGAGAATACTACTGACATTTTAGCCAATTTTCTTTGTCTTTTTGAAAAGGTAGATACAAACACACAAACACATAGACTTTTCAAAACATAATTAGAATCATGTTAGTCACTGTCTGGTGCTCTCCCTTTTTCTCTTAACATCTTACTACAACATTCTACCATTAATTAGCCCTTTCTTACAGGCAAAGACAGGAAACTAAGAAAAGTGAAGTTAGTTTGCTCAAGGCCACTCCAGAGAAGTGGGGGAACCAGCATTCACACTCAGGCCTTCTGATGCCAAAGCCAGGGCCAAAATTGTCACAACTGATTTCAGATCGAGAAACTGAGGCACAGAAGGGAGGTGATGTGCGTGTGATCACATGACCAGTTCCTGAGAAGGCCGGTCCCTGATCTCAGGTCTCCTGAACTCTTTGTCCTGCACCAGTGTTGGGGCAGGGCTCGCCCTGAGGGCACCAAGGAGAGGATGGACAGGCAGGACAAGGCAGGGCAGGGCACTGCGCTTACCACCGGGGCAGGGGACAGTGACGCACCCTCTGCTTTCCAGCAGCTCAGACCCAGGAGAACAAGCTGGATCTGCTCTCCTCTACAGAGCCCCCAGCAGAGACTCGCTAAGCCTTGGTTCCTACTCCTGTCATGTGGGTGAGAATCCTGACCTCACGGTGTTGTTGTGAGGATGCCAAGATTGCCGAAGCCACTGCTTTGTACGTTGTGGGGTCCCAGTCTAAGAATGACAGAATCTCAGACAGTCATGGAGTGTTTAGCTTGATGCCATATAGCACACTAGGGGCTCTGCCTGTGTCATTCCACAACACATTCATGAAAAACCCCTGAGGGAGGTGTGATTACCATCATCTCTGTTCTACAGAGGAGCAAACCCAGGCTTCAAGGGGTAACAGTCACTCACCCAAGGTCACACAAGGGCCGGGAGCCACCACTTCAACCAAGATCAGTCTATGCCAGGTTCAAACCCTTAAGTCTGATGATTCAATCTGTGACCAGGAGCAGCATGAGATTGTGGGGACAGTACAAAAACATAGTGCCATCAGCTATGAGAGCCACATTTAGTTCAGCAGACTACATCTTAATTTTTTTAAATAGCCATAACAAAATGATGATAGCTATCATTTGTTGAGCACAAACTTTACTTGCAAGTATCACACTTAATATTGATAACAGACCTGAGAGGAAGGTATGGTTTTCCTCACTTTAATAGATGAAAGAACAATCTCAGAGAGGCCAGGCAATTTCCCCAAGGTCTTTACCCACCGTGGAGTCCTCTCTAGGGACTGGGGGACGCGGGGGGAGTCAAACGAGCTGTGCCATGCCTTCTGGCCAGCTGCCAGACCTTCTTCTCCAGGACCCCTCTCCAGGGGAGAGGCCCTCTGCCTGGAGTGCTCCACCCTGGGGGGCCACCTGAGTGGGATTGACACCGGCTGCAGGGAGGGGTAGGATGAGGTCGGGGGGCCGATTCTGTGTGGTGACCCTTTGCCAGGAACTGGATCTCATTTGCCGCCTTGGGATCTGGGACATGTGTGTGTATGTGTGTGTGTGTGTTTAAGCAAAGCACATTCATGTGGCATAGACAGGGTTTGGGTGACTGTTCCAGAGGGAGCTGGATGTTACAACCATCTGGCCAGTGGCATTCTTCTCTGTTGGGTCCTTTCCCCAACCCCCACCATCCTAAGGCATTTTCCTCCTTGGCAAATCCGGGTGTACAGTGCTAATGGCATCACCATAACCCTGACCACTGCACAGGCAGGGAGGCCAAGGTCTGGGGGGCCGGGAGGTGGACACAGAGCACGGTCACCCAGTGGGTGTGTGGCTTGGCTCTGGTGGCCTGTGACTCCTCTCTGATGGGGAGGAGGTCGGCTGAGCCTTCATCCCACCCTGTCGCCCTCACCCTCCCATGGCCCTCTGGGGTGGTTGGATCCATCCTTCCAGCAGCAGGGACTCTGATCCCTGCGCACAGATGAAAAGAAGGAGCTCAGAGGAGAAGAGTGACTCGCTCAGGAGCACCCAGTGCCAAAGGGCAGAGCCCACCTAGGACCTGGGTCTTCTGACCACGGTTCCTAGCCCTTCCCACTGCACCCAGTAACTCGTTGGCATCCATATTGAATATTCTCTTTATAAAAACAGCTGATTTCTTTCCACACCGACCATATCAGACCCTTCATTCCTTTTTATTCCTGAATAATATCCCACTAAATAGATATAGCGTGTTAATTTATCTTTTCACTCATTTACTCGTTATTTATTGTATTTATCTATTCATGATATTTGGGTTGTTTACACCTTTTGGCTGGTATGAATAGTGCTACTATGAATATTGCATACAGGCTTTTGTGCAGACATATGTTCTCAATTCTCTTGGATATATACCTAGGAATAGAATTGCTGGTCATTTGGTAACTCTGTGTTTAACCTTTTGAGGAACTACCAGACTGTTTTCCAAAGCAACTGCACCATTTTCCGTTCCCACCAGCAGACTGGATTTGAAATTTAATGCCACTCACTGGGTCAAAGTTCTCTCCCTCTATGAGAAGTAGCTGTAAGATGGAACTCAAACAAATGTTGACACGAATCATGCCCCTTGCTCCCTTAAAAGGAGGAGGGAAATAAATATTTATTTCATGTCTTTTAAGGGTCAGATACTTTGATGAGTATTCCTAGTCTATAAAGTGGGATCACAGCTATGCCCACTTTGTAGGGCTGGTGTGAGGATTAAATGAATCAACCCATATAAAGTGCTTAGGACCATGCCTGACACACAGTAAGTGCTTAATAAATTTTAGTCATTGTTTTTACCTCATTTGGCCGTCCTAAGCACCCAGTGCCTGGCAAACAGTAGACACTCAATAAATGTTTAATGACTGAAGAAACAGTAAGCAAGCAGTGCTATCAGATTGGTATCCATATCCCCATTTTAAAAACCTGGAAACTGATGCTCAGAGTTTAGGGGATGTAATCAGAGTTAAAGCTATCGCATCAACGGGCTGTGAAACAGACCCAGGTTCTCTCATTTCAAAGCAAGCCTTGTTCTGCCCAGGGTCACACGTGGGCAGCCCTTCCTAACTCCTGCTCAGGATGGTACTGCCTAGCCACCCACCCCCGGGCTTGGCCTCCAGGTCCCCTCTGTGGCTCAGTCTCTGGTACATCGTGGTGAACGGGGAAACAGAAACTTCACCCAGATGGTGGTTAATTTTATGTATCAGCTTGGCTAGGCTATGGTTCCCAACTACACAATCCAATAATAATCTTGGAGATGCTATAAAGATATTTTGTAGACGTGATTAATGTCTATGATCAGTTGACTTTAAGTAAAGGAGATTATCCTAGTTGATCTGGGTTGGCCAGATTCAATCTATTGAAAGGCGCTAGGAACAGGACTAAGGTTTCCCTAAAGAAGAAGTTTCCCCTGTGGACAGGAGCTGGAGCTCCTGTATGAGAGCTCGCGCCAGCCCTTCCCGCGGCCTGCCCTGTGACGTCAGACCTGCCCAGCCAGAGCCCAGGGTTGTGGAAGTCAATTCCTGACAATAAATCAGTCTGACTGATACAGTCTAGAAGACTTGCTTTTGGTTTTAAATGATGTCCTATTCTCTAAATATAAGTTTGTTTTCAAATGGACAAAATATATAATAATTTAAAATCATGTAGTGTGCATTTTATGGTAAGTAGATTATACTTTTCAATAAAGCCATTGAAAACAATTATATTAAAGTGCCACTATGGCTATTACATAAATGCAACATGAAAGTCACAGACTTCTCTTTAAGGTAATGTTGTGCTCTTAAATTTGAAATCTCAAAACCCTCTGAGAGGGGAAGAGAGCAGACTTTACTGGAGTTTTCCTGAGGGGAGAGTTCCTTACTTTTTGATTCTTAGTAATTCTGGGATTCCCGTGAGAAAACCCCCAGGGAGCCCAGGCTAGATGAAAGTTTCAGGAAGGGGTCCCCTCCCTCAGGAGCTTGACTAGAAAGAGCACTGGACCTGGAGTCCTTTAGCCTGGTTCAGATCCTGACCTGCTCCTCGCTAGCTGTGTGACCTTGGGCAAGTCACGTCATTACCTCTGAGCCCAACTCTCACCTTGGGCAAAGTTGGAGAACAAAGCCCCTGACCTGTTGGAGATGAGGGTGGGCTGGGATTACACATCTAAAGGAAAAGCTCCTCAGCGTGGAAGGCTCCCAGGAATGTTGGCTGCAGCCAGGGCTACTTAAGGAGAAGACTCTTTAAAGCCTTCTACCACTAAGTCGTTTTCTTGGTATTCATTCTTAAATCCTCTGGATGCCTCGTACGTGCCGGGCGCTGTGCTAGTCTTGGTAATCAGTGGTCAACATCCCAGTGCACAGACTGGTGGAGGAGGCAGACAATAAACAAACAAATACATGTGCCTTTTGGCAGTGAGGGGTGGGCTAGGGGCTGAGGGGGAGCGGCTGGTTGCCAGAGTCTGTCCCCTGGGTCCGGCCCAGAGCCGCCCAGCCCCACAGCCATATGGAAGGCATTGAGCAGCGCTTGCATTCCAAACACGGGGTGCTGCCCTCCCAGGCGCCTCTTCCTGGAACGCACAGCCTTGTCTTGGCAGCCAGGGCCCCAGCTGATAAGAAGGGCCGCTGCCTTTCCCCAGAGCTCGGCCAAGGCCAGTGAGGGAGGGGAGGGTGCTCAGTGGAGGAAG